AATTATTATAGTTGTTGGCCTTTTATTAAGTCCTTTTTTGCTTCAGTCAATTACAGACAAAATATTAAAAATGTCACCTTCAGAGAGGCACAAAGTCCATCGAACTTATTGGCCAAAGAAAAACGCAAGCACCTCTCAGCAACTATCAGTGAAAACAGACCCCTAAAACCTTAAAATAATTTGTGGATCCCGGCTAAAAATTAACAAGCACCAAATGAATCTGACAGCTATAGACACACGATTGTTTATGCATTAACTGTAAATGCGAGAATTTGCGGCATTACTGGGTTGCCATTATAATACATTTAATATTTTGGTTTCTGGACTGTTGGTCAGAGAGAACAACATATTACAAGATATCAAAAACAATGACTTGACTGAGAAAATAAGCCCCAGATTAATTGATAACAAAGACAGTCAACTCTAATTTTATGCCATTCGCTGGCACCAAATTAAGAGTTCAGTTTTTTTAAACTACACAAGTATGTAGAAAAAAAAACATCCCCTAAATAAAGACATTCTTCAGTGGATGATGGTGCTTTGAAGATGCAGAGAAAAAAATGTCTTTGAATATCGGTCAATTAGTTGAAGAGAGATGTGTTATTTATGAGATCTGTGTGATTCTTGTGAATGATTTATAGCTAAAGTACAGCGTCTGCCTCACAAACGCAGATATGCAGTCAATGGGGCAGAAATTCTGTTGATTAATGGTATTAAAGCCACAGTTGTACATGATGAGGATTGTGCAATGTGCTGCAGTACATACACAGAACTGTTTTACTTTGATAGATTGGAACTGACTCACTTTGATTTGCTCTCACTTGTATCAAATTTGCTACACAAGTAAAGTTTCTTTAACAGTCGTCTACCGTGTATATGTGTCATTATCATTTGAATGACAATTATGTGTGATTTGTGCTCATTCCCTTGAGAATAATTTATACATTCCTGCACAATCTGCACAGCTGTCTCACTACAACAACAATCTAAATATTTTTACTTCTATAACAGCTTTGATGTGCTACTCTTTTTTTAACGACATGCAACACTTCTATTTTTAATCTTTTGTCCTCCTTCAAATTTTTACACTTCTCTCTGTTTACTGTTATGCACTAAGGCACCAAGTCAAATTCCTTGTATGTGAAAAGCTGCTCGGCAATAAAATGGTTTCTGTCTGACTCTGATAGGAGGATTTGTGTGGATTTTTTAGTAATCAGTTTGTAAAATGGTTGGATCAACTGTCATTTCTTGGATTTTAACAGTTCAAGTAGCAGTTTTGTGAAATTGTTGCAGATTTATCATTGTAAGAAGGTGTACGCTGGTATCCAGGTGACATACTGAACACTACGAGTGTGTGATGAGGCACAATGGATCATTAGGAGTATCCAAATGAACTGGTTTACTGAAGACAGAAGCATGTTGGGGAGGCTAACAATGATTAATGCTGGTTTCATATCTAGACAGCAGAAAATGTATCACGTGTTACTGTGATACGTTATCACTGTCTGTGATGGCCGCACTTGCAGCCTTCCCAACCATGAAGTAACCAGTAGCCATTTCAGTTTAGGTTGAAACATTTTAGACACACATCGTACGTACAAAAACACAAACAACACATCATGTATAATTTTAAACAACACTCATTTACTGAAGCACGTAGGTTGTATTTGTAGCATACACATATAGTTTACTTTTGTATGTTCAGCATTGTGTATTTAAGTTGTACTAATCTTTTAGTCTTACCTGTGCTGAGGTGTCTGATCTTCTGTGGTCACCTGCATGACTTTCTGCCAAAGATGGGGTCAAGGAAGCAGCAGGTTTTTATGTCAGAGCTGCTAATCAGACTATACCAAGTGCCTCCCACTTCAAGGGGTGGACCGGGTTTATTTGATTTAAATATTACTTTACTAATTTGATTTGTGTTGGGTAACTAGATACATTTTGAGTTTGTTTATTATTATTATTATTATTATTTTTGATTAAGTTGAGCAATGGTACTGTTTTGTGCTTTTTGTTGTTAGTTTAGATGTAGCTGTGTTATGTTCTCCCTATTGTGTGTAACTGGTCTGATTATCCAGTATATATTTCCCGTTTGTTCAGCGTTTTTTAAGTATGTTTTAGAGTTTGTTTGAACAGTGCTGTTGAATTTAACTGTTATTTTGTTGCTTATGGCCTTAGTTAAGTTTGCTTCTTTTGACCTCTTTTATGGACTGACTTTAGTATTGGTTTTTATAACTGTTTGTCATTTCTTGGTGAAATAAAACCCCTGTTTTTGTATTCACCTCATACTTTGCAGCTTGGTCCCTCACACTGTCCAATAAACGTAATGCATTACGAGCAAATATGATAACCCAAAAAGCACAACAGCTATAATTAGTCTGCATTGTACTACAAACAAATGCACTGT